TCCCCCCCACGCCAACCGTATTTACGCATCGTTCGCTAGATTGAGCAAAAGAGGGGCACCAGCATTCCAGAAGCAGCTACGTTATATATATAGAGGGTTCATCCCGAGTAAAATATTAAGGGGTTGGATATCCACCCATCGATAGCTAAAGGTATCGAAAATGTATTACGCGCTACAACTTTATAATATACATAACGTGTCTTTCAAAATACGGTTTTCTATTTTACCACGGGTACACTTATCTCCTTAGGATAATTAAAAAGTTACCGACCGGCGGTCAATGCATAATTACCGGCCGTGATAGGCCCCTGGGGGGAAATGCAACCCCGCTGCTACTGAGTTTCGGGCCTTAGGACCAGGTCCGCATGGTGGCGCATCGCCTCATTGGTGAGGGGTGGGGAGAGCCAGGCACATCGGCGAGGCGGGTGACGTCATAGCACGGCGTAGAGAGCCAGAGCGCTGCGCGCTCCATGACTCATGGGGGATAGTGCTGGGGGTTTGTTGTGACGGCCAGAAGTGGTATGTAACTACTAACGTATGTACAATAATATATAATGTACAAATAATGAACAATAACTACAAAATGAATTCTTTGGAGGTTAGGGTTGAATAATAACTCTTGACAACTTTGTTAGATTCCCAGGTAATGAAACTGAGAAGAAAAAATGGGCCGAGAATATGGGCAGACCAGATTGGTTACCAGGAAAAACAGCAGTTCTTTGCTCTAACCATTGCACCAGTGATTGCTTCGAGTGCTGGTGGAATATGACATGACTGCGCAAGGGTAGCGTGCCTACAATTTTTCTACAAGACAGAATTGAGGCACATACAACTTCCGATGTAGGCCAGGCTTCAAGTAAAAGTACGTATATTGCATACTTGTTCATTATCAGTTCACTTACGTGTTCAGAGTATATTGATAAATAAATGTTTATCATTATCTTCTTCATACGTCGTTGATTATTTACTTCCAGGTAAGTCTTTTCTTTCTTTATTGAAAAATGAATAAAGGGGTAATTAATAACTGTGCAGGATTAAAGGTTGACATGTCACTGCCTACGACAAGTCCTCCATCTACGTCAATGGATCAACCAAGCTGTACTAAGGAGTCAAGTTCTGCAGAAGCAATACTTCCCACACTGAGTGAGTATGCTTATTAACTAGTTGATTCAATTGAGAAAAAGCAATATTTACAAATTTTATTCAAAGAATACACACGTATTTATAATTTGTATATCCAGGTCTGGAAATGTCAACACCGAGTTGTTCTATTTCAACTCCGAAATCATCTATTCGTCAGGAGCAACTGACACCAAGGACATTACGGCGGCGAGAACTATTCAAGCTTGATCACCTTTATGAAGACACTCCTCGAACAAGACAAAAAAAATGCTACCTTATCAGGCAGAAATATGCAACATCACAAAAAAAGATTAGAGCTCTTAAGAGACAAGTCCGTACATTGAGCTTCGTCTTTACACATTGACAAAAAATCATGCACTTTCTGTGACTGGCACAAATGATCGCCATTTTCTGAACCGGCAGATCATTTGGGCTTATCAATAACTGCCTGTGATTTCATTTGCTGTGATATTGTTACCAAAGATAGTTATTTTAAGAATATATCTATGTACTACTTTTGCCAATTATTAGTCTAAATTTTTCTATCAATAATATTGAGGTAGGTGTTCATATTATATCGCTGATCGTAGTATAGGCCTACTGGGGACCCGCTACGTTAAATAATGGGAACGCCTCGACGGCGGCACCTCTTGGGTGATGTGGAAGCCCGCAGATTGTCGTTGTTATGCCTTTATTGTAATAAGATAAATAAATTAATTGGATATACTCTTTAATCTGTTAATCCCATTTGCAAAAGCACATTTTTTTCATAAAAAGAAAGTGCTCTCCATAGAGGGGTCTCGAAGCATAGACTTCCCGATTCGTAACCGGATGCACTAGCCAGACGCCAGAAACATCTGTTTATTTTACTTTTTTCGGAAGTTCTATTTCCAGAATTTCATCGTTTATTCAACTGCTTACTATTGTCGTTTCGCTTACTTTACATATAAGCAGAATAATATAAAGATGCCCACCAGTTAAGAACTTTCGCGCCACCTTTTTCCACGTGGACAAACAATTACTGACAGAGATAATGCTCATTTCCATATTTGCTTCTCGAGATTATTGATTCCAGGTAATGAAGTCAGCTAATTATTTTCTCATAGTAAATCTTATTGAGTTTACATTGGGCGCTGGAACTGAAGATTGCAAATAAAAAAGTATTTATAAGATTATAAGAACTGGCGGCAGCAGTGACAGCAATAGCAGACCCCTCAGCGAGAGAAGATCCGCAATCGCTCAAGTCGCCGGTCGCGCGGCACGAGCGGGCGTTTAAAATATTATTCGATTCTGTTCATAGATAAAATTTAAAAAAAAATACATATAAACGTAAAATAAAGTTTGGGCAACCTATAAAGGTTAAAAGAGAGGAACCTTGAACAATTTTTGTAGTAAAATGAAAAAAAAAGAAGATGAAAAAAGAGTTCTTCATGGGGGATCGAACCCGTAACCAGCAGCGGTATATCTTGACAGGTTATTGACTCAGCCACGATGCTCGTTTAATTCTAAATTAAATTTTCTATAGATATTTATCTATGATATTTCAAAATTTCTCTTTGAACTGTTCTCGGTCGTGTCATTTACCAACGAATTTCGCCATTCATTTTTTAATGTTCATTTTCGGCATGATAAGAGGTAAAGAGTGAAAACCAATATTTCTATGCATTTTTTATAACTTTGAAATTTATTTGAATATACACATTTGTTTGCGCATTACGTCCATACAAACGTTTAGGGTTCGGTTGGACGGAAGACCTTGCTGCCCCGCATTTATTTGAATATACAAATTTGTTTTCGCATTACGTCCATACAAATGTTTAGGGTTCGGTTGGACGGAAGACCTTGCTGCCCCGCTTGTTTGTCAAGTACGGTTTGTGAGGGGCGGTAACTTTTTCCCCACCACCGAGCGATCCATTCATTTTCGCTGACTGCAATATCGGCTGGAACGATTATCATGACCCGCGCGGCTACGCGAAATCTGTAACATCGACAGAGGCGATGATCACGAAATCCTACTCCCGGAGTCGCCGCTACGATTTAGCGCCATGCTTTTGGTATCGCCTAAAACCGGAGCGTTGTGCATCTCCCCACTCATCTCTGGTCTAAAGCACGGGAGTGCCGTGTCTCCAGTAAGTGGTCTGTGGTTTTGATAGATTCATAAACTAAGTTTACCGCGCAAGAGCGGCCGTAGCCCAGTGGATAGGGTAGCGGATTCGCGACCGAAAGGTTGGAGGTTCGTGCCCAGCTTCCAGCGGCATTCACCAATGGGTTTTCATATGAAAACTTAAGTGAGTATTTATACGGTTTTCGCCCAACACTGTTCGGATACGGTGTATAAACTTTGTAGGTCCCCTCACGCTGAGTTGAATAAGGCCCGTCTCGCAAGGTACATCGCCATCTATTGTCGAACTTCAAACCTTGATTATTAGGACCAGTTACTGGCACATGTCCCCCATTGGGGTTACAGCCATAAGGAAAGGAAGGGAAGGGAAGTTTACCGCGCGACAGTCACTGGCACATCTCCTCATTGGAGGAGTCAGCCATAAGGAAAGGAAGGAAGAAAGTTTACCGCGCCTTTAATGTTAGTTAGAGTGGTTTAGGGTTAACTTTTATCGAAAATTGTTACAGTATAACCTCAATTTATAAAACTACACAAAATTAACACTAATTGTAAGCTTTCACACTCAGAAATAAGAATGTAAATTACTGTATATTGCCTATAAAATGTATAATATCTATATACTTACGTTTTAGATATAAAAATGGAAAAGGAATCCTCATCAAAAAAAATTAAATCTTCAAATTTAATTAATCAATTTATAATGGAGAGAACAAATGTAGGGTCTTATAATGAAGTTAAATGGTTTTAGTTGGAACAACTTACACATATATATATGTATATACATTTTCAGGCAGCAGATTCTATAATGCATTTTCGATTTGATAAGAAAAGGGTCAGAATTCTTACCAGCATAGAGGAGGTAGCTGAAAAGTGTAAAGGAATTGTTTATTGGATGTTTCGAGATGTCAGAGTTCAGGGTAATATCATACAACGAATAGTTCTGTGCTATGTTACGTTATGATAATATATAATATATTAAATAACCAAAATAAATTTACCTTTTATTTTATGAAATTAGAAGTACATGAAATAGATAGAACTAGTTCAAATACAAACAATTAATGGGATATGCTTAACTGATAAATATTTTTCTTATATTGAATATACAAATAAATACTAATACATTGAAACCTTGTTTAAGTTGACTCTCAGAAAAGGTTACTCGCGTTTAAGTTTACGCGATACTTTTCGCACAATAATCGCAAGAGGGGAATCGTGCAGTGGTGGAATCCTCTCCTGAGTGAATATAATCGAGATGTTTAGGTTTCTGACGAGTCAACTTAAACGAGATTTCAGTGTATATTACATATAATTACTGTTTATGAGTACAAGTTTAATTAAGTATAATGTTTTCATTTTACAATTTTCAGATAATTGGGCATTTTTGTTTGCACAAAAGGTTGCCAATAAAAATTCTGTACCACTACACGTGTGTTTTTGCATATTACCAACATTTTTAAATAGTACTATGCGGCACTATAAGTTTCTTCTGAAAGGTTTAATGGAGGTTGATGCAGAATGCAAACAGTTGAATATAAATTTTCATCTACTTCATGGTGAACCAAACCAAGCAATTTTAGATTTTGTCCAAAAGTATAAAATGGGTGCTGTCATTACAGACTTTTTTCCACTACGATTACCTCTGTTTTGGCTTAATGATCTAAAAAAAAAACTACCAGACAACATTCCATTATGTCAAGTAATTTAAAAGCTATTTATTTTCTTAAAGTACTATCATATAGGTGAGATAAGTACACCTAAGTAAATCCTGTATTCGTTTAAACTGATGTTCATCATATATACATTATTAGTATGAAATAATTTTAATAAAAACAATTTATTTTAGGTCGATGCACATAATATTGTACCATGTTGGATTACGTCAGAAAAGTTGGAATATTCTGCTCGTACAATTCGGAATAAAATAAATTCTAGATTGGAAGATTATCTGACACAGTTCCCACCAGTCACAAAACATTCCTTCTTAACTAATCAAAAATTTAAAAAGAATGATTGGGAGAATGCTCTGAGGAAGTTGGATATAGAAGAATCTGTGAAAGAAGTACCTTGGACTATACCAGGGTATAATGGTGGCATTTTAGAATTGCAAAGCTTTTTAGATAATCGTTTGGCACACTTTCACACTATGCGTAACAATCCTTTAAGCAATGCTACAAGCAATTTGTCTCCATGGTTTCATTTTGGTATGATATCCGTTCAGCGATGTATTTTAGAAGTATTAAAATACAAACAAATGTATAAAGAGTCTGTGGAAACATTTATGGAAGAAGCAATTGTGAGAAGAGAATTAAGCGATAATTTTTGTTTCAACAATGAAAAGTACGATGCTGTAGAAGGTGCCAATCAATGGGCAATTGATACTTTAAATCAGCATAGGTGAGATCAATTGGAGTTCATATTAGCATTATGAATGACATCTATTATTATTGTCTTACTCATCTTAGAGTACTAACTCTCATTAAAATTGATATATTTTTCCTTCGTTCGCAGAAGCGACAAACGGGAATACATTTATAATTTAAATGAATTGGAGCATTCTTTAACTCATGATGACTTATGGAATTCATCCCAAATCCAGTTAGTGCAAGAAGGAAAGATGCATGGCTTTTTAAGGATGTATTGGGCAAAGAAGATATTAGAATGGACACATGATCCTGAAGAAGCTCTCAAATGGGCGATTTACTTGAATGACAAGTACAGTATAGATGGCTGCGATCCCAATGGATATGTAGGTAAATACTAACTGATAATTTGATGCTTTTCTATTCTGAGCACAGAAATATATAAAATATACGTATTCACGCATAACATGATAAAATTAGATTAAATATTAGACAGATGTGTGAAAATATTGTACAGTAAAACTTCTCAATAGCGTAGGTTTTTCCTACCTTTTCCCTGCGTAAAATTGCATAATAACGTAATTGTCTATCCTCACTTTCTCTATACTCTTCTTCGTGCTATTCCCACTTCCTGTAACCGCGCATATTTACTCGCAGCATAGGTTTCTGCGCGTGCGCAACTTGTAAAAAAGGAATTATGTTATTGAGAGGTTTTACTGTATAGCTTTTATTTTGCTCTTACTTGAAAAATATAAAAATTCAACATTCAATGTAATTATCCTTTCCTTGAAACGTTAAGTTTCGAAAGATACAAGTATGTGAGATAATCTTATTTATTAACGACCAAAAAGTAACTTTCTTTAGAGATGCCACACGAGTAAAATAATTAACTTAAGTGCTGTTATCAGAGATCAGGCCGTATCAATACCTCAGATTGTTATAATTATTTTGTGCATAACTATAGTCGGGCTGTGACGTCAGTTCCACTTTGAGGGGACTACTTTACGCTTGCATTCGTAAGGAACTAGTAACTCAAAATGAAACTGATGTCGTAGCCCGATTTTACTTGTTCTGATTGTTAAAATTCTATTCATATATTCGCATTATCAGTTTTAATCTTTTCACACAGGATGTATGTGGTCAATTTGTGGAATACACGATCAAGGTTGGAAGGAGAGAAATGTATTTGGAAAAATACGATACATGAATTACAAAGGTTGCGAGCGAAAATTTGATGTGAAGGAATTCGTTAAAATGTGGGGTGGCAAAGTGTACAACAAATAAGAAAAGCAAGGTTTTATACATGTACATATACATGGTATGTATATCTTAATATACATATTTAAAATAATTCTAGTACCCAAATCTGTATACAGGGTGTTCGTTATGAAACGCACTGTAGTAATACCGTTGCATTCCTTGTCAAATTCTAAGGAATACGTGTATTTTGATTTTTTATTTCATGTATCAAAATTTCGAGATAATGAAGGTTGAAGTTGCAGTAACGCGACCAATCAGAACGCGTTTAAACGGAGCGTAGATGACGTCGCGAGTCAGCCCACAAGGCCTGCTTACACAAGGCCGATAACACTAAGAGTATCGTCTCTTGTATCTTACTCAATTACATGCAGATAAACAGGGACACAACGACGATACTCTTAATGTTATTGGCCTAGTGCAAGCAGGTCTTGCGGGCTGGCTCGCGACGTCATCTACGCTCCGTTTAAACGCGTTCTGATTGGTCGCGTTACTGCAACTTCAACCTTCATTATCTCGAAATTTTGATACATGAAATAAAAAATCAAAATACACGTATTCCTTAGAATTTGACAAGGAATGCAACGGTATTACTACAGTGCGTTTCATAACGAACACCCTGTATACAGATTTGGGTACTAGAATTATTTTAAATATGTATATTAAGATATACATACCATGTATATGTACATGTATAAAACCTTGCTTTTCTTATTTGTTGTACACTTTGCCACCCCACATTTTAACGAATTCCTTCACATCAAATTTTCGCTCGCAACCTTTGTAATTCATGTATCGTATTTTTCCAAATACATTTCTCTCCTTCCAACCTTGATCGTGTATTCCACAAATTGACCACATACATCCTGTGTGAAAAGATTAAAACTGATAATGCGAATATATGAATAGAATTTTAACAATCAGAACAAGTAAAATCGGGCTACGACATCAGTTTCATTTTGAGTTACTAGTTCCTTACGAATGCAAGCGTAAAGTAGTCCCCTCAAAGTGGAACTGACGTCACAGCCCGACTATAGTTATGCACAAAATAATTATAACAATCTGAGGTATTGATACGGCCTGATCTCTGATAACAGCACTTAAGTTAATTATTTTACTCGTGTGGCATCTCTAAAGAAAGTTACTTTTTGGTCGTTAATAAATAAGATTATCTCACATACTTGTATCTTTCGAAACTTAATGTATAGTATTCAAAATCAAACAATGCTCCGTCCTTTATCGGTGGGACCAAGTCAGATGTGACCCTAGATACTGACATTGCGACACACACACATATATACATATATATATATATAAGACATCACATATGTCATATATATATAAGACATCACAAAATCTCGAATTGAAGAACTGTTGTGTCTTCAATTACGGGACGTAGTACCGTTCCTCGGGGAGCATCTCGCAAAGTACTGGCCAAGAACTCCAGGGTCCATGAGATGTTTGTATAATCTGTAAACTAATTCTTATTGTATCGATATTACATGCGACTTGTATCCGGTCAACGATATGCCGTCGGAAATTCTATAACGACATCGAGGAACCAACATCAACCTCAACAGTATGGGAAGGAAGACGCCACCCGTTATGCAAGGGAACGTGGAGGACGGTTAGAGACATCCGACGCCTCCACCCCACATCGGATGACTCCCGAATTGAGTAGGGAGTCAAAGAGCTAAGAAGGATCACCATGGATCTTCTCGTCACGTTCCGATATCGTCGATATCAATGTCCCGCGAACGGCACATCGGTAACACCAAAGAAGTAGGAAACTCTTAGGGCTACCGCGGCGAGGCGTCATGAACCTCTGCCAGTTCAACGTCCCTGGAAGAATCCAACGAGGAACACCACCAGACGACAGCCGGATCCCTCAAGCCACGGTAACGAGAAGGAACACTATCGTCAAGCCCCATGTCTACGAATGGGCGACGTACGCCCCGATTTCTCGTAGCTCGCGCACGGGAAACATCTTATAAGAACGAGACCGTCCTTCTATGTAACGTATAGTATGGCGTACAAGCAAGCTCTGGTCAAAAGAATATCGCTTTGAGTCCTTCTCGTGAGTGTAAAGATCCAATAACGAACCGAAGTCTTTCCGGTAAAATTTAACTATTATATGTATCGTCGAATTAATAATAGTCTAAAGGCATGCTTCGAATTTATAATTGTCTAAAGGCATGCTTCGAATTTGGCGCATAGCAACGCGATAGGCAAATCCTTCCGTAAATGGTATGGGTCCAGGAGGGCCTGACTCTGGTGACGAGGCCAGCGCTGGCCCCGAGCTCCGAGGAAATCCGCCCTCGCGCGGACATTCTTACGTTGGTAGCCGTCTTGGCCGGGTGCGTGTGTTGAGTATCGTTGTGTTCCGTTTGCACAGTAAGCGTCTAGCCAGCAAGAACGAAATCTTTTCCGACTCTGAGGCGAGGGTATTCGCCCTGTATTCTCTTATCGAGTGTTCCTCCCGGTTACGTCCTAGGAGAAGTCGCGTACCGCCAGGAAGAAAAGATTCCATGTCTTGTCTAAATTATTGTTCTCATTACGTATCCTCATGCCTTAAATTAAAGTAACTATCTCTTTTTCTCGCGTATTGACGCTTAACGTCTCGTCTTGTTTGAATTGAATCGCTCGTCAGGACTTCTCTCACTAAACAGGTTTTTCTTTTTTTTTTTGTTCTATTGTCTATATCTTCTAACTTATTGAGACTCCTGTTTAAAGTCAGTCGCTTTAGTTCAGTGCTAATCTGTACTTTGGAATATCTCTACTGTTAATTATTTAGTTTATCTCTTCTGGTGAAATTAGCGTGCCGATCCACCGCTCGACCTGTCACTGTCTTTCGCAGCTGCGTAATTCGCTCCGTTTATCGGGAAGGCGGTCAGAGTAAATAACGATTCCGGCAATCGACGTAATACCGCATCGAGATCAAACGTGAACATTTTGTGACTATTAGCCTGTACGACCTTCCGTTGAGAGGCGGTGATATCGATGTCGCACTCGTATCGTTAAAATCGTCGCGTATCCCGTTTGGGATTCTATCTCGCGTGACGTTGTTGTATCGAGTAATATTATTGTGCTTGGTTAGGTAAAATACTAATTGTTATCAAGTCCCGAATAAAGGGCATATTTGTTACTGTTAACTTCTGGTTCCCAATCTGGCTTTATTTAACACCTGTCTGTTCCCAGTCCCTCTACCTACCGGTTTTAAGTAGCTAGCTAGTGCCTCTCTCCTATCTCCCCGCGTTATCTTCCCGTTTCGTGGTACTACGTAGTGCCTGGCGCCCATAGGCTGTCGCGATCCAGAATCACGGAATTTCGCGTTGTCGCGTAAGGGAGAGTCTGGAGGTGCCGTTCGGGTTTGTGACGAAAAGAAGTTGTCGCGCTACGGACAATTTATCTTACGTAAGGGAATTTACGTCAGAATATATATACACGTTTGCCAAAGAGATACTTTGGGGACACGACAAATCAAGGGGCGTTCACAATAGCAAGCTAATGCTTTTTTTTAACTACTACCTTGGGGCATCACAGCATTAGAGTTCTGACCTAATTTAACCTAACGAAACATTTCTAAGACCATCACAAATAATGGATGCTTAACATTGAAAAAATATAAATAAATTTGGTGAGACAGTCCGTTTTATGGTCCTCAAAACAGTCATTACACTGGAAAATCTTTGAGGACGGTCCCCAAGACAGCCACTTGTCCTCACAGTAGCGACTTCGTAAATGAAATCGTACCCAAAGTATCCCCTAGCAGGAAATATATATATAATAATGTTACGTATATCGACCTTCATTCCGAAACAGAAGAATAACGTAGCCGACAGGAAACATAATTGCAGACTCAGTACGTTACTCAGTGCATTGCCCGTGCCACCTACCCAGCTGGTTAGCCGAGTGCATTCCTAACGTCCTAACCGTACCTTGAGCATCAGCAAAAATCGACTATATACTATAAGCAGCCAAAATCATGGCACTGGCGCTCAGAAAATCATTCAGTTTCACGCGTAAAAGATCGGAGTGCACGTTGTCACTCGTGGCTCTAACCGTTAGAGTATTAGATTCAGTGTAATATTCGCAATCTGGCCTAGGTACGGATTCGTTATTACATACCCTAGGGAACAAGCTGGATCGGTTACCGGGCAAAATTGAGCTGCATAGATTAGTCTTTCCAAGTAACGCATATAGGTACTAGACAATTTTCTGTACCACCAAATTTCTTTTGCCTTAACCTCACACACACAGTCAGGTTTTGTAATCCGATTTTCACAATATTTTGTATCCCAGTATTTCTCATAATCGAATCACTGTACACGACAATTAATTGAAAACTTCTAAATTGTTTGTAACAATATATCGCAAATTCACATTTTACTCGCGTTTTAAATATCTATTACCCATCCTCAAACATTTCAGAGAATATCTATCCACGTTGGAATAGGAAGACGTGTTTTAACACCTTAAACGAGCAGCGAACCTAAATTGAGTGCATTCTTACCGCTCGGAATTCACTCAAATATTATTCACGTTACCTCCGGTCGTTTCTTTTCTTTTGGGTACTTCTAAATTTTTGTTATCAAATTTAAAGACCTCGCTAGCCACTACGGCCTACGTAACAATAGCCTAAATAATATTCAGACGGATAAAGAAGGCATTACGAAAAATTACCAAACACAAAAATGCACTTATAAATCTCGTGCATAAAATGACGAGCATATAAAAATGAACCAATTATTTTCTATAGTGAGAAGATACAAATAATGTATCCGGTTAGGGATTTTTTTCATTTAATTTGTATGATTCAAGGCTATGTAAAGACAACATTTTTAATACATCGAATTATCAGAAAATTATGTCGAGGTAGAACATACTGATAGTTCGAAATATTAAAAATATTTTTTAGAATAAATTTGTAAATATTTTTTAAATATAGAAACAGCCTGCCATACGTGCGAGTGTTATTAAATTCTTTTTTTAATCAAATCACGCTGCGACCACGGCACATTAAAACAAAAAATGAAATGGAAAAATGTTTCTATTTTCCAAACGCAAAAGCGTTAAGAGAACGACACGAGATTTTTTCCATCACTGTCAATTTTTCTCTTGCATCTTCATGAGAGTTCGTGTCGCAACAAGTGAGGCTACCGACTTCTACCAGGTATGGATTATCATACATCAAAAATATACATTGGCTACGTTAGCAACAATTCAGCTTCGTAATCGTAAGGTGCCGAGTTCGCGTCTAGAGACGGAAACTTTTTTTTCTTTATTTCTTTTTTGTTTTATCTACATGGTATCAATAAATTCATAACCGACTAGAAATTTCGGTATACTCTGTGACAAGAGTCCCTAACCAGACACGGAGTATCCGAGCGAACACTAGTTCGCTGCCGCGCCACTAGGTGGTCAAGGCAACTCGCATGAAAAAACGTAGAACCGGGTAAATAATTAAGCCGCTTAATGCATCATTGTTATCATTTACATGTATTATTAATAAGACATTTATACTGAAATATTTTGCAGCAGAGTGAATGGTGTAAGATTAAAGCAATATTCAAGAAATATTGCAATAATATTGCAATACATTTTAGCAATAGATGGGTATTACATTAATTATATGGCAAAATAATTAATGATAACAGAGGAGTACCATTTTTAACGGCGTTATGTTGATTTTCTACAAATAGGTATGTATGGCTCGCATTTGAGATTCGAATTTGGTAAATGATGTTTCATTATTGAGCTAACCTGTTCGTATGGAAACATGCTTTTAGGACACCACTGTTGTAAATTTGCTAACACGTTGTTATCATTTATTAGAAAATCAGATTGCTTTAAATTGATAGATTCAATGTTCTTGGGCAAAAAAGCTTTCGATCGATCAACAACGCCATGCACAGATTCCAACAAGCGCAATATACAGAGTGATAATGGTGTTGAGCATTCATCATTTATACAATTGATATCAGCACCGAGGTCCAATAAAGTATCTATCGCTTCCAAACGATCGCTAAATGAAGGAATTGTCACGATGGTCATTAAACACCAAGCAAAGACGGTATTACATGTAACTAATGTATGTGTTACATGTAATGTTGTCTTTGGTGAGTACATGAAAGAGGTTCGACTATTTCCTATAGATACAGTAGTTCTTTTTCTTTCGCGAACAGTAATAATGTCATTCTCAAAAATATTGACTATATAACATGTAATTGAGCTAAGCCGAAGAGAAGAAACGTATATACATTTTTTAAGTTTCATACAGTATATTGTTTAAACATTATTGTAAAAAGTTAATTCAAAAATTGTGATACTAAATTTTCACGTGAAATAAGCTTCTTACAAAAACTTAATGTATTTTTACCGTTCAGAAGCTCAAATACATAATGTCAAATTAACACGGCAAGTGTACCTGTATTGTACAATTTACGTTATTTTCACGGCGTTTTACAAACTATGCACGGACAAAAACAGCTATATAATGAAAATATCCAAAGACTAACATATCGAGTGTCAATTGATTGAATTTGTTTTAAGAATTTATATATTGTCAGAGATAAATATATCTAAATTACACGCACCATAATTTTACTCAAATTTTAATAATTGAATTATTATAAAGATTTTATCAGATGCTTATGATAAATTTAGATTTACCTTACAGCCGCATAAATCAAACCAGTATTCCCACCATTGTCCGCAAGATTCACATCCAAGTTTTCTTTTAATATTATCTGTCGGATTGTATTTTTAAAACCATTCGAAGACGCTATTAGAAAATTTAATGCTGCCATCTCGTGTGCTCCTTCTTGCCGAAATTCTCCTCGTTTTCCGGCCAAAATCTTGTGGATATTGTATCTCATTTTTTTCTTCGTACATATACAGGGTGTTCGTTATGAAACGCACTGTAGTAACATCGTTGCATTCCTTGTCAAATTCTAATGAATACTTATGTTTTCATTTTTTATTTCATATATCAAAATTTCGAGATAATCAAGGTTGAAGTTGCAGTAATGCGACCAATCAGAGCGCGTTTAAACGGAGCGTAGATGACGTCGCGAGTCAGCCCGCAAGACCTGCTTACACTAGGCCAATAACACTAAGAGTATCGTCGTAGTGTCCCTGTTTATCTGCATGTAATTGAGTGAGATACAATCGCTCGGTGTAACGTCAGTGAATTTCAGAAGGTACCCTTTATTCCTTATAATGTCTATTCCTTTAATGTCACAAGATAGTTGTAGCAACGTATTACGTTTTGAGTGGACCTGAAAAGGACCGATTTTGATCTACGCATGACCGAGCTTGGATCTGGATATGCTAATCTGCAACAATTACATACATTTTCTATGATAATGATTATTCTGAAACAGTAAATATTATAGAGTACGTAACATTATTATCAGGATATCGCCAATTAGGATACCTAATTGCATATTGTTGAACTGCTTGTGTTTGACTATCATTACATTGGGCTAACACCCAATACGTGTCGCAATATTCTCTCACAGAATAATTACTCGTAATGCGAACTGACTGTGTCCACAATGTGAAGTGAAATAAGTTGTAATTTGTAAACAAGTCAATCGACCGCAGTAGACTTATTACTGTTTACAAATTACAATCTATTTCGCTTCATATTGCGGAGACAGTTAGTTCGATTTATGTTGTTTCGACTACAAGATCGCATTACGAGTGATTATTCTGTGAGAGAATATTGCGACATGTATTGGGTGTTAGCCCAATGTAATGGCAACCAAACACAAACAGCGCAAGAATATGCAATTAGGTACCCTAATCAGCGACATCCTGATAAAAATGTTACGTACTCTACAATATTTACTGTGTCACAATAATCATTATCATAGAAAATGTATGTAATTGTTGCAGATTAGCATATCCAGATCCAAGCTCGGTCATGCGTAGATCAAAATCGGTCCTTTTCAGGACCACTCAAAACGTAATACGTTGCTACAACTATCTTGTCACATTAAAGGAATAGACATTATAAGGAATAAAGGGTACCTTCTGAAATTCACTGACGTTACAGCGAGCGATTCTATCTAACTCAAGTATGAGTAATTATTTTGTGAGAGAATATTGCGACATGTATTGAGTGTTAGCCCAATGTAATGGCAACCAAACACAAACAGCGCAAGAATATGATTAGGGTACCTAATTGCATATTCTTGCGCTGTTTGTGTAACACCCAATACATGTCGCAATATTCTCTCACAGAATAATCACTCGTAATGCGATCTTGTAGTCGAAACAACATAAATCGAACTAACTGTCTCCGCAATATGAAGCGAAATAGATTGTAATTTGTAAACAGTAATAAGTCTACTGCGGTCGAATGACTTGTTTACAAATTACAACTTATTTCACTTCACATTGTGGACACAGTCAGTTCGCATTACGAGTAATTATTCTGTGAGAGAATATTGCGACACGTATTGGGTGTTAGCCCAATGTAATGATAGTCAAACACAAGCAGTTCAACAATATGCAATTAGGTATCCTAATTGGCGATATCCTGATAATAATGTTACGTACTCTATAATATTTACTGTTTCAGAATAATCATTATCATAGAAAATGTATGTAATTGTTGCAGATTAGCATGTCCAGATCCAAGCTCGGTCATGCGTAGACCAAAATCGGTCCTTTTCAGGACCACTCAAAACGTAATACGTTGCTACAACTATCTTGTGACATTAAAGGAATAGACATTATAAGGAATAAAGGGTACCTTCTGAAATTCACTGACGTTACACCGAGCGATTGTATCTCACTCAATTACATGCAGATAAACAGGGACACTACGACGATACTCTTAGTGTTATTGGCCTAGTGTAAGCAGGTCTTGCGGGCTGACTCGCGACGTCATCTACGCTCCGTTTAAACGCGCTCTGATTGGTCGCATTACTGCAACTTCAACCTTGATTATCTCGAAATTTTGATATATGAAATAAAAAATGAAAATATACGTATTCATTAGAATTTGACAAAGAATGCAACGATGTTACTACAGTGCGTTTCATAACGAACACCCTGTATATATTTATATTATTTTAGCAGAATTCAGAGGAAATAAGGACGAGTGCATTTCCTCCTAAAGAAATCAATGTTTTTCATTTTACATTATTTACACTTTTCTAACTTCTCTAATTAAAATCAACCGGAAGAAATGCACCCATCCCCCTTATCGTCTTATCAATCCTATACTATGAATCCTCTTCTATACTAATATTTCAAAGCAAAACTATTTGTATAATTACGATTGGATATATATGTACCTCGTCATTTCGATGCCTAAATACATGTTTCAATATATCAATCATAGCTTGGTTATTGTTCCATGCTAATAAATGCGTCATAACAGTGGCTTCTGTTGGAAATTCAAGTATTGTCTCTATTCTATCAAACTCGTCAAAGTTTGAATTCCGGGATTTTCTTTTTTCCGAATAATTTATAGGATTCTCAATACTAGGAAAGTCATTGTCCTACAAACAAAATGGTGATTATCTCATATTGTTAAAGAGAATGCAAAATAATTATGTCAAATACATACATTTACAATATATATCACAAACTAATTATTAACTGTATGCAATAGATATGAATTATTAAAAAAAAATCTAAAGATATATTAAAACAGTGAGGGAACAATGTCGTGCGAAATATTTACATTGATGTTTGCAAAAATGTGCCATTTGCCTTCGAAGCTGCTCATTTGATCATTTTCACTGAAACCTTTGATGCCGCAATAAAATTGATCTCCAGGCGATTCGTAATCAACGTTGATTGATTCTCCTAGGTGCTGATTAATAAAAAATGTTGTGTCACTTTCTGCAATCTTAACACGTACATCGTTTGAGTTTTTCTTTTCTTTAAGTGTATCTTCCTTATTTGTTACTTTTGATGCACTTAAATAACTTTGACGTGGGTTATTGTTGGCTAGAAGTTTGAATGTTACAAGTTGTTATACAATCTTAATGCAATTATGTATTTTAATGTATTATTTAAAATATCTTACAAGCACATGATAAATTTTTTTTTATTAATCTAATAAAGGAATCTATATTAAAATGGTTCCACTGAAAAACATGTTTACGCCAAAAAGTTAACTGTCGTTAAAATGAATTATTTCTCACGTATAGCTTTCGTGACCTTCATGTCCATCGTAGATAATGCTGTGATAGATTCTTTTTCTTCGTGAAGATATTTTTGCATATATCTATAACAATTGATAATGGAAGAAATATATTAAAACCATATATTTTAAAGATTATCATTTGAATTAATTCAATTGCGTGTTATTTTATTTGATAGAGGTATCAAAATCATACATACTATTCATTTATACATATATTAATTTACAATAATTTATGGACGAAACAGTAATTGATTTGTTTCGAATACCTGTGTCTTTTAATAATTTTTAATTCATCACTTATAACCAAATAAAATAGTTCCAAAATGTATTTCTGACCTTGTAAATTCAACAATTGGTACTTACTCATTATCTAGTACATGATACCAGAGAGATCTCCTATCATTAGGTGTTGGTCTGCAAAGCTCATTCAACCCCTTCCGTAAAGGACGGTCTAAATCGCTTATATTATTCTTTATCAAGTTTTTTACAATATTCTGCCAACGATTCTGAACAAGATAAAATTTCTCATCTAAGAAACCACATAAAGCTTAATAATCGTATGAATCATAAATAAACCACCTCATTTATTGAAATCATTGTACGGTATCTCAGAATTTTTATTTTGTCGTCTTTTTCGCGAGCTATCTGGAGCATTTTGATTTCAGGTAAGCTGCGAATTAATCGAACCAGTTTGTTACCCAACCATATGCCGACATCTTGTTTGCCAGCTGAATTTGTATATACACCTGGACCAAATCTTTCATTATTTAAAAGGAGGCCCTAAGAAAAAATAAGAAATGAATCAAATATGAAAATAAAGATCTTTTATTATCTCATTGCAATATGGTATACTATCCAAGTACAATAAACCATGTTCAAATACCTCAAAATATGACCCACATAGGTAAGACATTCTGCCATAGCCCTCTTTCCCTTTTACCGACATACTGTTTCCATATATATGTTTACGTGGATGAATAAACCACCTATGCGTCATGTAATAAATAATTTTATACGTATAATATAAATAAGCTATGTTACAAAATCTCAATTAAATGCAATCTCATATCATTTTGTCTTACAGTCATCATTTCGGTAACAAAAAATTAGATATAGATATCATTTTGAAAAATGTTACGGTGTAGTTAATGTAGTATATTTTATTGTTTCTCGAAATATCGAGAAAAAAAAACAGGAAGTCTACATTTACGTCACGTGTCTTCCCTGCTTAAACAATCGGATTAAAATCAATAGAAACCGATAACTATCTGATTCAATTACAATCGAATTTAATCGGGGCCATCGGAGAAATTTGTATTCCGATTAAAAATGATTTGGAATGAATGGGTCATCGTGTTCGATATGATTTTATTGCTGATTACGCCTTAAACAATAATTTTTTTTCGGATTCAATGGAAATCTCATTTATTCTCAGTAGTAAATATCTTAAAGATTCGATACGAAATTTCTAATATAAAAATCTGATTATTTTCGACTATTTTAAATTGGTTTTAATAAATTTTTTTAGGCAGGGTTCCTGTCATTCCCTTGTATATAGTGTGAACTCAGATTCTTTCATATACTAAATGGAGAAGTAAAAAGCTATCTATAACGCGCAAGTACAAAAATCGAACATCTTTCCCTATTTTCTCGTGCTGAATTGGTATGGAGGCTCTGCGTATTTGACTGCGTGGTCAACTTCTGAAGAAATTATAAACTAACTCCATTTTGTAAACAATGATCGAGGATTCAAGATAGCAAAAGCAAGACTACTTCAGAGATCGGTTAGAAATTATAATCTGTATAAATGACACATTATAGAAAAGTGTCTATAAATGAGACACTGTGCTATTTAGAAAATATGTCATCCTGGACAATATATTGCAACGTTAGTTATAGTGCCAGAGATCTAATTGCTAAAGAGTTAATGTATATAGTGATAACATAGTTCTAGACATATTGTCAATCCATAAGTTCAATGTGTTTTTTTGTCAGTTCATAAAACCATATACAGTAACGTCCAATTGAAGCGCAACACTTGAATTTTTTTACATATCTGTGAAAGTATAACAAATTTCGAAAAACCAAAAATACAATTTTTTAGGAAATTTCCTTCCCGTTCGAATGGTAAAGGTTTTATCCCGATCAGATACAAAATGGCCGAATGGCAGGGGTTGGAGTGAAAAAGTGCATTTTGGGACTTTTTGAAAAGTTCGAGAACTAGTAGTTCCGGAAGAAAATTCATATTTCTAATTATGGCACGAGAGAGAGCATCCTTCGGCATTACCCCCCCCCCCCTTGAACCCCTGATTTCGCAAGCGCACCCGAAGCTTCCCCGCCATTTTTCATTAGGAATGCGATGAAATAGAAGTTTCATATTTATCCACGTTGTAGCTGAGATTTCAACGATTAAAACGCGCTTTTAAACATCTAAAAATAAGTTTGCTAAGGGATTAAATTATCCGTTTGAAAAAACGCCTAAATTTTGCTAGTTCCGCTCGAGGCGCTCGGGGGACTACTACCCTACCACGTGCGCCAAGCAATTGTCCCCCGAGCTCCTCGAGCGAAAGTCACAAAATTCCGTCACGGGATCATCTCCGAGAACAATAATTTTGTGAGAATCTGCAGTATCATTAAAGATGATATCATGCGGAAACTGGACCAGATTGGCTGGCGCGTTCGCAAGTTATGGCCATTTAAGTGTTTTCACTTCAAGGGGGTGTAACTCCCCCTAGAGTGATCCTACAGGGGTTCAATGGGGGGTTTTTTTTAATGCCGAAGGATGCTCTCTCTCGTGTCCTAATTAGAAATAAAAATTTCCTTCCGGAACTACTAGATCTCGAATTTTTCAAAAAGTTCCAAAATGCACTTTTTCACTCCAACCCCTGCCATTCGGCCATTTTGTATCTGATCGGGATAAAACCTTTACCATTCGAACGGGAAGGAAATTTCCTAAAAAATTGTATCTTTGGTTTTTCGAAATCTGTTATACTTTCACAGATATATAAAAAAATTCAAGTGTTGCACTTCAATTGGACGTTACTGTATGTACAAATATTTAACAAATCATACGTAGATTTCTATAAAATTACGAAAATGTTTACTAAGATGAAAAATTAAAATATAATTCAGTGTAAAACCATACGCATACATATTTTGTGAGAAATATTCTATGCAGAGCCATGTGGTGCTAGCTGAAGAGTTCATTGTTCGTGATTTGTCGTGAATCGAACTTTTGAACTCGTGGATCGACTATATATGCACATATAATATATCTTACGTAAATTCTCCTTCACCATCCGTAGAATAAAAAAAAAATGGCCAGTTGTATGTCTGTATATACTGAAAGAAGTAGGATATTTTTGTCTCATATGGAATACCAGTGAGTAATAAACGAAACTACGTACATCAGCATTCCTTAAGTTACAATGACCAGTTTCATTTCTTAAAACGCGTTCCCTATGTGGATTCTTGCTCTCGTAAAGCCATGTCAACATTTCTGTAACATGTTTATCTTCCATACTTTTTGAGTTGCTCATGCTAGAAGAAAATTTATCACTGTCTGTTACTTTCAGATTCTAAATAATTTCTTTCCTTAAAGGTTACGATGTTAACAGCTAAATGTTACTAACAAAAAATTTCGATTAACAAAAGACTACAGTACATATTTAATTTTGAAGAAACAAAAATTCTACATTCATCCGCGTCATCGTTATCTTCCTTTCATGACGCTTGCATTCAAACTTCAGGTTTCAATGTTTCTACAGCCAGTCGAAAGAAGCTAATTTCAAGCCAATGTCGCGGACAACTGTTAATGGGTGCGTAAATTGTGAATGCTTTAAATCAGCGGGCTGAAACCATTATGTTTCTTCCTTAGGGCAGAAGCTAAATTACAGTTTAAGCAGAAGTTTCGATGCAGTTGTCATAAGAAATATAGTGTGTACGTGAAAAAAATTCGTATTGCGGGTGATGTCAGCCGTCACCTACGACTCGAGAAGCCAACCCCAGTCTGAAATCGTCTTGTTTCACCTTTTGTCACACGATATACTATTGTATGCAATAGACTTTTTTGTTAATATCATCAATTTATATAAGTATACACGTAGAATTATTCGTACTGAATAATTCAACACTGATATAATTGGATGATATTAATTTTATAGAAAAGCTTTACAAATGTTTATTTTTCTTTATATTGAATTAGATCATGACAATTTTTACTAGGCTATCTTCCTTACGCAACAAAAAAGTAGACCAGCTCACAATCAGTTTAAGATTTAAAGGAATGCTGTTTTCGAAAATAATGTCTCAAAACAAACTTGTATTTTTAGACCTGCTAAATCACTATTGAAATCGCTATTACATCTTACTTTTTACATTGTCTCCTTGTAATTCAATATTAGAGAACTTAAATGAAGCTTTGAATGATGTCATATTAAAATTTTAAGGTTAACCAATTACCTATTGTGACTGCATAAGAGATATGGATGAGAGGAAATCAGGTTCCATTTTAATTTTCATTGATTTTAATATTATTCATTGTACTCTAACTTTTGACCTAATCAAAGAGAAAACCTCATGGATTTAAATCAATATTTACTGATTAATAAAGTTCAGTACACTGTATACAGAACTACGACGCAGTAGACCAAAAAAAGTCACCAATTTCGCTTATAAGACAAGATGCGGTATTATAATTCCCATTGCAAAGAAACATAATTCCGATTCTTAATCATTCGACTAAAAGTTGCATTTTTTGTATATTGTTTCTCATAATTTGTATGTACAATAATTTGCGTTCAGAAGTTTTTCAGACGGGATACGTATAAGTAACGGAATAACTAAGCAAAAGGATTCTAGCGGTTCTAAAACTTTTACTTGGGGCATATTGTGAAAAGGTGTAAATAGGATTATAAAGAGATAACACTGAAGATAGATAGTGTCATACGAACTATTTATTTATTATTTATTAGTTACATTTATCTACGACTATTCATATGATTGATATTGAACTATTCCCATTTTTCATGGAAATTATTATAATATAGCTAATTATTATTATAATATAAAATTCCGAAAATGTCGAATATGTAAATAATTATTATGAAATACGAAGTGTTGATATCTTAGAGGGAACGGGATGTATAGAGTGTAAGGAAATTGCTGCAGCTTTAAGTCCCAATTTCACGCATTCGGCTTCAGTCAATCCTTGATACATCCCAGCTATTATTCCAGCAGCAAGACAATCGCCACAACCACTGACGCTTACTGGTGAATCCAAAACATTGCTGTCAATAAAAGGTGGATACAAACGTGACTGAATTATACTCGATTCAATTATTTTCCTCTGTGAATCGTAGAATAATTCGGTGCCCATAGACCGCCGAGCTACCTAAAAAGAAATATAATATTCAATACACAGTTCTAGTATTGTATTAACATTATCTGTTCACCAAGCATATAGTACATATGTATTGTATATGATTGCTGCTATTACTAAAACAAATTTCTTTGTATAAAAAGAAACTTACTAAAACACCACGTGAACCCAAAGTAATTATAATGACAGGAATGCTTTCCACCAGCTGCTCTCCAATTTCTTTAATTATACCAATATCTAAATTTGTTTTATTTTTAGGGTCAGAGATACCAAAGTGTTTGGCAATAGCTAATAATTCATTTTCATTCGGAGATATGAAATGCAATGTGTTTCTCCAATTATCTGTTGCTTCGAAAATTTTTGTTGCTTTTCTGACGTCAGTTGGTTCATACCATACTGCAAATAAAAAAAATTAAGTATATTGTACCAAATCTGTAATGTAAAGAATTAATAATATAGTTTAAAATATATGACTTGTATTCAAAATATTTATACGCGATTAAAATCTATGTATAATTGTATATATAATCTAATTAGATCAAATAATGTAGGTGATGATTGTTATATAATCATATAAGTTAATGGTAGTTTAAACTAAAATAGTGAAATGTACAATGTAATCTGTTTAAGTTTGAATACGTTTTCATTCGACATAAAAATACTAAATTTATAAATACCGATCTCAGGATGCAACATTTAGGATCTTCATCTGAGATCGGTATTTTCATATTATAATCTTGAATATTTTAGAGCACTGTAACTTTTGGACTTTTTAGTATTTTAAGGTATTACTACGGACCGAAAAGGTATATGCGTCGGGCACGGTCTCACAGTGGATGTAGTAGTGTATACGTTGTGACGTGATTTTTCGAATCACAGTCCCAAGGCGGCTCCGGTTACCGATACAGGTAACGTTCTCGATTTCTGGTTCCCTTCGGGTCGCCACCCTGCTCAGAAACTACGCTCTCGGATTGATTCGTATAGTTATGTCAAGGCTCTCGTAAGATTTCGTTATTGTTTAGTTGAGGTCGAGGTGCTCGAATCTGCCGTGGGGAGATAGTCTCGACGTACCGAGTTGCCCGGCAGAGGAGAGTACCCGACGGAGACGTCTCCACGGATCGGCAGAAGCACGGGTGAGATACCGGCGCCCCGCTGGAGATGGGCAAAGGGCTGTAGAGCGGGCGGAGGAAGTTTTGATATGGTTAAGGGCAGGAGAGGAACCTCCTGCCCGAGTTAAGGATGTGGTGCCCAGCTGTCGCCCGATGCCCTGGGGAAGCGGCCGTGGAGGATCTCCAGGAGATACGTACCGATTCGCTAAGGAACGCTCTCGATTTGGTTTAAAGGGACGACTCGAAGGAGATAGAAGAGTTATC